CTCAGAGGAAGAGAAACTCGGTGGTTAGAAGGCAGGAGGGAGGGCGCCTGTTAGCGCCGAGAGCTGTATCTGTCTGTCCATTTCCAATGTTTACCAGATTCTCGCTTTAAGAACAAATCGTCAGACTGTTTGAGAACATGGAATCTTCCCCTGGTTCCAAGACCACAGCAGAAACGACCATTTATCATTGCTATAGTGTTAATTTTATTATTTTTGTGTGATTGGCATGTCTTGAGAGAAATAACATGCATTTTCCCAAGGCAGGAAATTATCTTAACAAAGAAACTGTAATTAAATACACAAATCAGTTCTTTGTAGATTCCCCCCGCCCCCTCTCTAAAGGACCATCTATGCTCTTAAGATGTTTAAAACTTACTGAGAGGATTTCGTTTGTCTAGGAGTCAGATTACAGATCCGTTTATAAGGAAATTACAATAAATCTTTACAAATACATTGATTTATTAAAGTTATTCCTGCTCAATGTAAAACTTTTTCCTTTTTTTAACTCAGAGAAAATTAAAGTTGAGTGTTTTAGTTGGGAACCGTCTTGGGTGGCAATACAACTGCATACCATAAGAGAACTCCATGTAGGAAACAGGTGTAAGAAAGGGTTCACTTTGTCTATAAGACTTTTTTTCCTGAAATACTATTTCTCCTTCCATTGTTAGACCACTCTCTCTTTGGTTATATTTCATAATTCCTATAGTAGATGCAGCAAAGCTCTCATACGGCGTGGCCTTCATTACTTGCAGAATATGTGCATTGCATAAACTGTACAGGGTTCATTAGGGCACTTGTTGAAAAACAGATTTACAGACAGATTTATTGTAGGTCTGTTTACTGTGTTTGTTTTCTTTTCCAGGAGGAAACAAGCAACGAAAGGGGTAAGTGCAAGGGGGAAAATTCCTTTGTGTATTTATTTACTTACTTATTTAATTTGAAAGTAATTCCTCTAGTTTAGACTTCTAACTTTGAAAGAGATGACCTAACTTTTATCGGATGATTTTCTCTGTTGTTTCCTGACTACAAGAAAGTGTGTGTGTGTGTGTGTGTGTGTGTGTGTGTGTGTGTGTGCGCGCTCGCGCGTGCACTGATACTTGGTACTTGGGCTTGAACTCAGGGCCTAGGTGCCATCTCTTTCCTTTTTCACTCAAGGCTGGTGTTCTATCACTTGAGCCACAATCTCTAATTTTGGCTTTTTGGTGGTTAATTAGAGAAAGTCTCATGGACTTTACTGCGTGGGTTGGATTTGAACTGTGATCTTCAGCCTCCTGAGTAGCTAGGATTACAGGTGACAAGGAGATGCTGAATACCACGTCTCCCTGTCCTCGTGGAATCTCCAGAATTTTGTTGTGACGAGAAATCATGCTTTGAAATGGACAGAGTGCTTGCTTTGTGAAGAGTACTTTACATGCTATGTTTGTGGATAGGATGGGGCTAGGAGAAAGTTTACTACTCAGTCACACCAAAATAAAATAATGAATGAATGGGTGGATGGACGAATGTTATAAGAAAGAAGACACAGGAAAAAAAGATAATCTGGTCAATCTATCAATTGGAACTTAAGTTGCCATTATACTCATCAACAGTGCAATGCTTTATGCTCTATCAACTGAGTAATGCATTAGAGTTAGACGAATGCCATCCTTTGACTCAGCCTCCACTTGGGGCCCTTGCAGTCAGTCTGCAGTTACCACGTGACTTTGAATTAATTTCTCAGAGAAAGCTCTGCCCACATTATATTGTATTGGTTATTTTTATGCCAGTAGAGTCCAGCACAGCACAGCATGTCAGATGTTCAATAAAACTTATTGACTGAGAGAAGGAAGGAAGAGCAAGTAATTTTATTTAGCTATTCATTAATTTAAGGAGCTCTTTTTTAAATTACATACACATTATCTACTTTCTTACATGTACATTATCCACATTTCTTCTTCAGAAAATTTTGTGGAGCAATTTTCCACGGAATCAGTGTCATAGCTGAAGAAGCACAAAGCTATTTTATGAATGTCACCCAGTTTCTCTCTTGTTCTTACCACCTACCACAAAGTTAGGAGGAAAGGGTTGATTCAAGATGATAAACTAAAGCCAGGCACAGCAATATTTGCCTCTAGTTCCATCTCTCAGGAGGCTAAGGTAGGAGCATGGAGACCAATCTAGGCTATATAGTACATAGCGAGTTCAAGGCCAGTTTTGGCTACCTAGGGAGACTTTGCCACAAATAAAAGGAAAGACTAAAAGAAGGATGGAGAGAAGGAAAGAAGGAGGGAAAGAAGGAAAGAAGGAAGGAAGGAAGGAAAAGGAGGGAGGAAAGGAAAGGGAGGGAGAGAGGGAAGAGAGGAAGGAGAAGGAAGGGAAGGGAAAGAAATGAAGGGAGGTGAAAGGAAAGGATATGAGAGTACAGGAGGAGAAGAAATAAAAAGGGAAGAGGACAAGGGAGAGGAGGAAGAATAGAAAGGGGGAAGAAAGGAATGAAAGAAGGAAATGAGGGAGTCAAAGCAACAGTTATGCAAGAACACAGCCACAAATAGCCTGTGATATTTGAAACACACGATCATGAATAAGATAACTCAAGCCAGGGGGGTAATCAGAATCAGGAAATTAGGCAGAATCAACAATCAAAGCTGCTTTCATTAGAAGCCAACTCACCTATCCATGGGAGTTCCAGGGAAATGATTGTCTAGTCATAACCTGAGTCAGTCAGCAGGCCACTGCAAGTCATTTTGTACCAGTCACCCCTTTTCTCCCGAAGCAATACCAATGTCAATTATATATCAGTGTTATCTTTAGACATTTGGATAGATCTATCTTTACAGGAATGCAAGTAACATCTGGAACTCCATTACCACACTATCAGCAGTAAAAGACTGTAATAAAAAAATCTTTCAGCTTTTCTTGTCGCATAATGATGACTAGCATCTTATTTCACACAGAGTCCTAGGCCAAAGAGCCAACTCTGGAGATGCCACCATGTCAGGTGCTCCACCAATTAAAGAGATGAACATCAGGGAAGAGGGAAGCAAAGCATTTTAGCACATCTTCAGTGGGCTGGCAGAGCTTTAGAGCTCTCTATCAGGGGTGAGAGGTATTCATGACAAAGCAGCTCATCAGAGTATCATGGCTGACCATTATTGCGGTGCTTGTTCTACAAAGGGGTTGCCTAGAAATTGTGGCCCCCATTACCAGTTGATGGGAAAGTCTAGTCCCCATGAAATAATGACTTGTGCTCCATGGAACAGCAGTGTCTTTAGAGGTGATTGCCTATCTTTACTGAAAGGCTCACTGTTGTTTGTGGTAGTTTCATCCCTTTCTGTAAAGGTTAAGGTACAGATTCCTATGAGTTCTAGGATCCAAAGCAACTGTCAGAGAGAGTAACTCAGTAAAGCAGACAGGTGCACAATCAAGAAAGCGATGTCAGGTTCTATTCTGCTTTTAATTAATTTGTGGTCCTAAGTGAAGAGTGTAAGTACCACCAACTCTAATTACTAAGCAGATTCTAAGTACCTGTGCTATTGGTTATAACTAACTGCATATGAAACTGAAGTTAAATTACTTATGATGAATCTCCACATGAAGGACTTTACTATGTGTAAATTGATTGGACCAGGTCTTTCATAAACTGAAGATGACAGTGTTTACGCTTAAGCACATATGTCACTTTCAAAGTTTTAAATGTAACCTTTCAATTACAGATCTAGAAATAAACATATACATATTGATATGTAGCAAAAGTGCTTTCAAAACTATGTGTAAAGAGATCCGTATAGAAATGTCTATTAGAATTGTCTTTTGTTACCTTCAGTTTTCTGTAGGAAATTATTATTTTTTAAGAAAAGAGAAATGTTCACTTTTACTGAACAAATGAAGGAATCCCTTTTGCATGTTATGAATATCTTGTGGGCACTTTTTTTCAATTTAGTGATGGTAGTAAGGGGAGTGTTTGAACTCAGGACTTCACACTCAACTTTCTTACTCAGTTGGTGCTCTACCACTTGAGCTACACCTCCAGACAATTTTTTGTTTGGTGTGTGTGTGTGTGTGTGTGTGTGTGTGTGTATGCGTGTGTGTGTGTGTGTGTGTGTGTGTGTGTGTGTGAGAGAGAGAGAGAGAGAGAGAGAGAGAGAGAGAGAGAGAGAGAGAGAGAGAGATGGTGTTTTGGAGATGTTGTTTCTTGGACTTTTCTTTCCAGGCTGGTGTTAAACCACAACTCTCTGGACCTCAGCTTCTTAAGTAGCTAAGATTACATTTGTAAGCCACCAGCACCCAGTTCATTGTGCTTTCACAATTATAGGATAGCTTGATAAACACTTTTCGGATACATACTGTATACACTTTCACCCTGGGGTAATGTTCTATGCTTATGAAGATTGACATATTTAAGTTACTGGAATTTTGTTTAAAATGTTCGATGTCTTTTAAATATTAATTTAACACCTGCAGTGGTGAACTTTGTGATTAGTACCTTGGTGAAGAACTGACAGATTGTTCTTAAACATTGCTTGTAAGCAACTAAAGTCGACTGTAGCCATTATAATGGCAGTAATCGGAGGAGATCCTGTCTGGTTTGGCAGACTAAGTAATACGTTAGGTTAGATGGCTTTCAGATTGCCCTTGGTTCATGTAGGAAAGAAAGGAACTTTTATCTATGTACCAGGTATCTTCATTATAGAATATCAGACATGAAGTATTAAGTGATGTCTCTTGGGATTCTTAGTTTTGCTTTTCCCTTTCCTCATATTATTTCCCACACAAATATAAAAGCAAAGTCTGCTGCTTTATTATAAGTAAGTACAGTATAAAACTGATGATAACCCTAAGTTGGTAGTCATTGCCATTGGCTGAATTTAAACTACAATGTGCAACAAGCAAAGACTGTTCTAAATCTTCTTAGATGAATAAAATAATGGGCACAAGCTTGAAAATGTAATATCCCTCAGAATGGATTAAGTTGTATCACTCACAGAATTTGTTCTTTCCAGCTGCTAATGAATGTCTTTTATTCCAAGCAGGATTCTAATATGGATTTAGGGCTCAAGGAGTATGATAACAAGACCCTGGCCACAGAGAACAGCACTGGTACCACTCGGAATTCTGATTTCCCAGTCTGGGAAGACTATAGAAGCAGTGTCGATGACTTCCAGTACTTTCTCATTGGACTCTATACATTTGTAAGTCTCCTTGGCTTTTTGGGAAACCTACTGATTTTAATGGCTGTCATGAAAAAGCGTAGCCAGAAGACTACTGTCAACTTTCTCATAGGAAACTTAGCCTTCTCTGATATCTTGGTTGTGTTATTTTGCTCGCCTTTCACGCTGACCTCTGTGTTGCTAGATCAGTGGATATTTGGCAAAGTCATGTGCCACGTGATGCCTTTCCTCCAGTGTGTGTCGGTTCTGGTTTCAACTTTAATTTTAATATCAATTGCCATCGTCAGGTATCACATGATCAAACATCCTATCTCTAATAATCTGACAGCGAACCATGGCTACTTCCTGATCGCTACCGTGTGGACACTCGGTTTCGCGTTTTGCTCCCCTCTTCCAGTGTTTCACAGTCTTGTGGAACTTCGGGAGGCGTTTGGTTCAGCGTTGCTGAGCAGCAAGTATTTGTGTGTCGAGTCGTGGCCATCTGATTCCTACAGAATCGCTTTCACCATCTCGTTATTGCTCGTTCAGTACATTCTGCCTTTGGTTTGTCTCACTGTAAGTCATACCAGTGTCTGCAGGAGTGTAAGTTGTGGGCTGTCCAATAAAGAAAACAGACTGGAAGAAAACGAGATGATCAACTTCACGCTTCATCCATCCAAAAAGAGTGGGAATCAGGCAAAACTCTCTGGCAGCCGTAAGTGGAGTTATTCCTTCATCAGAAAACACAGGAGACGATACAGCAAGAAGACAGCCTGTGTGTTGCCTGCCCCAGCAAGACCGTCCCTAGAGAACCATTCACAGGCACTTCCAGAAAACTCGGCTTCTGCAAGAAGCCAGCTTTCTTCGTCCAGCAAGTTCATACCCGGGGTCCCCACCTGCTTCGAAATGAAACCTGAAGAGAGCTCTGATGTTCACGAAACGAGAGTGAAGCGCTCCGTGACAAGAATCCAAAAGAGGTCTCGGAGTGTCTTCTACCGTCTGACCATACTGATCCTCGTGTTTGCTGTGAGCTGGATACCTCTGCACCTGTTCCACGTGGTCACCGATTTCAACGACAACCTCATTTCAAACAGACATTTCAAGTTGGTGTATTGTGTTTGTCATTTGCTTGGCATGATGTCCTGTTGTCTTAATCCAATTCTCTATGGATTTCTGAATAATGGGATCAAAACCGACCTGATGTCTCTCATTCATTGTCTTCGTATGTCGTAATTCTGTTCATGAGGCTAAAAAAAAAAACATTGAAAACATCGCGCATATATCTCCACGCGAGTGATGTCTGCATAATAAGTAGAACTATTGTTGACACATAGAATTTAATTTATGTAAGAGAGTTCTAGATGTGAACATTTGTGCATAATGTGAGAGTTTTAATGTGTTATGTAATTACTTTGTGCATTTGTATACAGCTATCAATCTAGGCTGTAATTTCATTCAAAAAAAGTTTCATGTTAGCTGTCAGTAAAAAAATGATGTCTTTGTTGGAAATAAAAGTTAATACCTAACCAACTCAATAGTGTTGTCCATAAACTTAAAAAGCAAAAATATTTTTCCTGAAGAGTATTTAACTACCCATTTGAGAAATTCCTTTTAGATATATATCCTTATTTCTATCTTCATTGCTATCTGTGTTGAGTTTATGACAATACAAAATATTTTTTTTTTTTTTTGTCGGTCGTGGGGCTTGAACTCTGGGCCTGGGCGCTGTCCCTCAGCTCTTCAGCTCAAGGCGAGCGCTCTACCACTTGAGCTACAGCACCACTTCTGGTTTTCTGGTGGTTTATTGGAGATAGGAGTCTCACGGTCTCTCCTGCCCGGGCTGGCTTTGAACCGCGATTCTCAGATCTCAGCCTCCTGAGTAGCTAGGATTACAGGCGTGAGCCACCAGCGCCCGGCTGACAATACAAAATATTTAGTATACCCAGGAAATCATAACTAAATGACAGATATATGCTTAAATTATATTCGTACTTTAAATATCAGGCACATTTTTGAAAATTCTATAGGAAAATTAATGTCTCATATTTGTCAGAAGTGGTAAAATTATCAATTTAACTCCTAGTAACACACAATTGTTTTACCAAGTAAAAGTAAGTTTTAATTTTTTTCTATATTTGTAGTATATTTAACACCACCAAATAAATGGTACTTTCAGATATATCTTCTATATTTTAAAATATAAAGTCTAAATGACATCTGTGTTTCTGTTAAATAATTTTAAAGACTAAATGTTCACAGAGACTAAGGTTCATACAAAGTAATATTTCTGGTTATTTCCATTTACTATGTATACAATGTGGAGTTTATTTGCTGTCTTACTAGACTTAAATCAAAATTTTCAACTATTTGAACTTTTTGTTTATGTATTTCTTTTTGCCAGTCATTTGTTTGGTTGCTTGAGGTTTGCTTGTGTTTTTGTGATGCTACAGGTCAAATCTATGGCCTTGTGAATGCTAAGCAAGTATTCTGCCACCAGGTAATATCTCCAGTCTTGTTTTGACAACTTTTTAAAGTCTTATAAAAAAAAAATAGTACTCTTTGTTGAGTAATTGAACATATGGATTATACGTATGAGATAATATTGATGCCTTTTTCAGAACTTACAACTGATTTAAGCATTTCCCCTGTGTTGATTCCTATTCATACCAAGTGAAAAACAATAAAACCATAAAAGGCTATTTAACCAATAGTCCAGAAGCTTTGGTTCTGCTCCATTCTCTTTCCCCAAAAGATGTCAATACGTAGAGGGAGTTGCTCTGACCTCACCGGTGGGGAAATGGTGCTGGGCCTCAGGTGATCTCTGCAGCTCCTGCTGACCTCCAGCCAAGGGGTCACAATCATGGCTGGCTTCCATGATATATCAGCCTCAGCCTCAGCTATATAGTGGATGGTAGCCAAGGCATGCGACTCAGCCCGAGTCCTCCATCTCCTGTTTCCCAACACAGTGCTTGGCTATATGCATTGCTTGATACCACCTTCATAACCATATACCAGCACTCTTCTCCATTCCTTTCCAGATGCAAGGCCCCACCTGATTTTAGAACATGCTTTCCTCTAGCCTATTTGTTGCCATATGAACGTCTTTCCTCAAATGTTTATATTATACTCCCAGAGTGGAGACGTCGTGCCCACCCTTAATTTTCTCTCATTCTTTTCTCTCATTCTCTTTTCTTTCCTTCCTTCCTTCCTCCCTCCCTCCCTCCCTCCCTCCCTTTCTTCCTTCCTTCCTTCCTTCCTTCCTTCCTTCCATCTTTCCTTCCTTCTTTCCTTCCTTCCTTCCTTCCTTCCTTCCTTCTTTCCTTCCTTCCTTCCTTTTCTTCTTTCTTCCTTTGAATCCTAAGGGAATGTACTTACTTTTGCTTTGTAAGAGTGTCCTCAACAATATCCTTTTTCACCGCTCTATGTATGGCCTACACCAGCTATGGCCAGAACATCAGGGTTTGCTTCTAGAATATGAGACTTTTATTACAGAAACCTTTTCCCTCCCCCAATGCTTGGATTTAAGACACTTGTCACCATATGAGCAAAAAGAAAAAAATATCTATTCTGACAAATGAATGATTATTTTAAAAACATGAATGTTTTCAGTTCCACTAGAATACCCAAGTTCAAGGTTTGCTGTTAGTGTCCAAAAGGGGGGAAAAAGAAAAAAAATAAGACTCACTAATGAGGACAAATAACATACAGAGAGATAATCCATCCTATTAGAGTAATTAACATTAGTAAATACATAATAACAGTCAAACATATCAGATTTTATAGTGGTTGATAGATGAGCTTAGTTAAACTTAGTAAACTAACCTGGGGCTCTTAAACTATTGAACTTAATGGAACTAATTCATATTCCATAATTAGAGATGACTGAGTGTTTTTAATAATTGGAAGTTGAACAGTTTGAATAGGTTGTTGGCCTGAAATCATTAAGGTTAGGATTAATGGTTTTAGAAAATTAGTTATGAATGGGAATGTCTTCTATGGAGACTTGCTTAGTGAGTTAGACAAGTTTTGTTCAGTCAGCTCTCCATTACTCAAGGGCTGATTATATAACTCTGTTTTCATTCTTTCCTGGAGTCTGACACAGTATCTATCTCTAATGGAACCTCCCCAAATCCATGGCTTGGGGAAATAAATAGAGATGAAATTATAAACAGTCAACCTCATTGCTTTTTAACAATTATGTAAAAATGTTTAACTTAGGAAGCAGGTTCAATTGAGTTTTAGTGGTTATTTAAATTATTGTTGTTAGCACTGTAACCTATTAAACTATTGGAAAAAGAAAACACTACAGGGGAAAAGTAAAGCAATTGAAAAGATGAAATAAAGAAGACATTTGTAATAGGATTATTTTAGTTAAAAGCTATTTATCGAATGCTTCTCCACTGTCATTTGAATGTCACCTCTATAACTCATGTGGAAATTCAATTGCCATCATAACAGTAGTAAGAGGGGGCTCCTTCAGAGATCATTAGGTTATCATGACACTTTGTTCATGAGATAGGCCCATTATCTTGCCAGTAGCTTTGTTGCTGTCATAGCTTCCTGTGTGTAACCCTCCTGCTCTCTTCCATGCTGTGTGATGCACTCTGTCATGTTGCCGTAAAACAAGAAGGCCCTCATCAGATGCTCGCACTTGGCACCATGGTTTGCAGCCTCTAGCGACCCATTTTCTTTTCTTTAGAAGAACTCAGTCTGCCTGGGTGTGCTGATTGTGTGCCTGTAATCCCAGCACTCAGGAGGCTGAGGCAGGAAGGTGGAGAGTTCAAAGCCAGCTTGGATACATAACATAAATTACATAGTAATTAATGGTGTAATATGCAAATACATGTGTGGCCTCCTAACACTGGCCATCACAAAGTACCACAATCTGGGTATTGATTGTGTCACAGTTCCCAGTGCCAGCAGTGTGAAACCATTGTGTCCACGGGGTCAGGATTCCACGGAAGCAGAGAGGAATCCAGGCTCTGGCTGTAGCATGCACTCTGGCCAGACCCCAGCTACTCAGCCTAGCTGACAGGCATCAATGCTCCTTGCAGCTGCTGGACTTGGTTTCTTTCCTGTTGTCCTGTGATGCTCCTTCTCTTTGTGTGTCTCTGTGTTTCAATGTGTCCTTTGCTTCGAAGGATACCAGTCATATTGCATTGCTTCCCTGCCTTCCAGTGGAAGTTCAACTCCTCTAATTACATGCTCAATGACCTTATTTCCAAGGAAGGTCACATTCTGAGGTACTGGGGAATTAGGATTCTGATCTATGTATTTTGATGGTGGAGACATAATACAACCTTAAACAGCATACACATTCCATCCTCCTCTCTTTCTCTTGTTCCCTCTCTCTCTCTGCCCTTTCTTTTCGTTCTTTTCTTTTCCTTTCTTTCCTTTCCTTTTCTTTTTTTTATATATGTTTATATTGTACAGAGGGGTTACAGTTACATGAGTAAGGTAATGAGTACATTTCCTATGGAGCATTGTTACCTCCTCCTTTGTTTTTCCCCTACCGTCCCTTCCCTCCCCACCTCCCCAACTCCTTCCTTCCCCAACTCCCCCCCCCCAAGTTGTAAAGTTCATTTTCAAGTATCTTGTACATCTCATTGTTACTTTCCTTCCTTCCTCCCTTCCTTCTTTCTTTTCTTTCTTTCTTCCTTCCTCTCTCTCCTTCCCTCCCTCTCTCTTTCCCTCCCTCCCTCCCTCCCTCCCTCCTTTCTTCCTACCTTCCTTCCTTCCTTCCTTCCTTCCTTCTTTCCTTCCTTCCTTCCTTCCTTCCTTCTTTCTTTCATTTCTTCCTACCTTCCTTCCTTCCCTCCCTCCCTCCTTCCTTCCTTCTTGTGCTAAGGATGTTCTTGTGCTAAGAATGTTCTAGTCAAGCACTACATCTATAACAATGAGTGATAAGAGCCTTAGAACCACACAGGTTAGGATGATGTTGATGGAGTGGAAGGAGGAGGTGGCAAACTGGGTGTAATTTCAGTGGGATAGTTTTGTAGCCTTAATGAAGAGTACAACTTTCATGGAAAGATTGAAAACATGAGGAAAGTATGAGTATCAGGAAAAAGAGCACTTCCAGGCAGAAGCTTGGGCTTTGAAGGGGTGACTCATTTTGAGTGTTAAGGGAAAAGAAAGGAAACTATTGTAGTAGAAATGCAATCAATAGAGGAAAAGAGCACAAGGCATTTAGGGGCAGTTCTTACATATCCTTGCAGGCATTTGTAAGTACCCTGACTTTCTTTCTTAGTAAAATGGGGAGCAATTTTGATATTGGCCAGAGATGGAGCATGACCTGACTTGCTCTAAGAGGATGACTGTCGCTATGACAATAGACTGTTCCTCTGTCTCCCTTTACAGAATTCGCAATTGAAGATGCTTACACCAGGAACTCACGGGGGTTACAAAACAGTGAAATTTTATTCTACCATTTTTTCCATACCAGGTAGGTCGATGAAACAT